AACATCTCCTTATTGGACTCACAAGTCTCTTCCTTGTCTGGTTATTAGTTTCCGTAAGTGTTTGTCTTTGCAAACTCCAATTCATAACTCCCTTTGTTTGCCTCTTATCTAAGCTTTAGTTTTATCTCTGGACATCCGTTTGTCTTTAGGTATCAATAAGAATTCTATTGAAAACTCTCATACTTTCAATTTCATTAGAGACAGGGACTTCCAATCGTGGCACTGCATTTTTAGTGATGCTTCTAAGCATGGCAGCGACAGTGTTGTTGGCGTTAGTGTGTATCATCAACAATATAACATTGTTCAAAAAATTAAATTGCCTCCAGAAACTTTGGTTTTTACTGGAGAGTGATTCGGTTTATACAAGTCAATCGAGTACGTTCTCTTAGCTAAGCTAAGAAATACTGTAATTTTTTTTGACTCTATGAGTGCTCTTCAGGCACTGTCTAGATTTCCTTTTAAAACGCGAATACTTTGCCCAATAATACTCGAAATTAGAAATTTGTTGTTAGCTTGCTCTTCGAAAGGCTTGTCTGTAGTTTTCTCCTGGATACCGAGTCATTCCGGTATTCATGGAAATGATCGTGCTGATCAGCTCGCAAATGATGTTGCTGTTGACGGGGACACGGCGTACTTTAAAATTATAATCACGAGTTGGCAACCCTTTCTATACATTTCCTTAGACATGATTGGGGTGTGATGTGGTCTGAAAGCAGTAAATTAAAAGGTAAATCTTATGCTTACATTCAACCTTCTATTCCTGTAAAACCATGGTTTTCGTCACTTAAATTTAATGTATGCGGTTGGGTCATGTTTGTACTCTAGCACACCTTGCGAAATTGAACATCGTTAATAGTGATTTATGCGAATGTGGCCAAGTTGGAGATTTGGACCTCATATTTTCAAACTGCCCTAAATATGATTATTCCTTACTCTTCCAAAACCTTATCCTATCAGGTATACCTCTTCCTACGTCCATTTCGGTACTGTTATCATGTAATGATTCACATATTTATAAGTATTTATGTAGCTTTATTGTAGAAAACAATATAAAAATTTAGACAGTTATTATATCATTAATATAATATTATTATTATTATTATTTATTGTCTGTTGTACAAATTTCCTAACATGAAATTCCTCTCCCGATCCGCTTTTTTCCTAAATCCGTTTCCAAAATTCCTTAACATACGAAAAGGTTTTCACTGTTTTTAAATGAAGTTAATTTATCTTGTCATTGGCTTCAACGCTGACCGCGAAAGGCCAAAAAAATTTATATGTCAAAAAGTAATGTTTATCAAGAAATGGGGTCACTGTGTAATAATTTTTGTCCTTAAGCCATGCATTAAATCCATTTTTAAACAAACTATTTGGTAACATTTTAATGTGGTCTAATAGAGCATTATATATTTTGACACACAAACCATTGCATTGATTTTTATAGTAGGACAGTTTAGGTACATTATTATAAACCAGTCTATTTGGATCTCTTCGTTTTTTAAACATATCTAGGTTTTGTTTAACAAACCAGGTCACTTTAAACATATAGATACACGGCAAGGGTAATATTCCTAACTCTTTAAACAAGGGTGGACACGATTAAGTTGGTGAAATACCGGTCATTGCCCACCAGGTGAAATACACATTTTTTGAGCAATGAAAAAATTTTCACAAACAATTAGAACTATGTATTTTAAAAATATAAAGGGCAGTCAAATATGTTACATTTTTTAATTTTCAATATAGCTACTCAAGTCCGCCTGTTCTTATTAAAATGTATATGAGTAAAAATCGATTTTGATACTATAGTCCATTTGTTTAGGTACTTAACTAAACGTAAACAATCTTGATACATCTTTTTA